AGATATAAAATTTCAGGCAGAACTTAGAAATTACACCAGCATTTCCAGGAATAATTACCATTACTAGGGAAGAAGAGGGTAAAAAGTTCTGCAATTCCTTTAAAATGAGTTTCAATCAAGATCTCATTCCTTTGGCACTGTCTTTGAGTTCCATTTAAAAATGGTTTGGCCCTATTCTGTTTCCTAAAGAATGAAATCCAATTGTTCATACAAGAACAGGTCTTTTGTAAGCTCTGTGTGAGAATGAGCCATTGCATAGGAGGAAGGCTAAGCCCTCAACCTGGTCGAGTGTCCTAGGTAATTAACTGTACGACGTCAGCCTGGCACACCTGGGGTTTTGTCATTTCATCAATAAAGTGTAGCCTGTATATGGCGAAGGGAAGGGAAAGATGGCACTTGATGGGCATTTCTTACCCTTAAAACCCTGAAACCTTCCTTCAGAATTAAGTGTTGGAACTGCATTTATGGGTTATTTTGCCCCTCTCACAGAGGGCAGAGGGAGCAGATATGATGGCAGCTGAAATTTTACTCATATGGGTGCAGGTCAGAGAAGCCACATTTGGTTTTTTGAAAGTTGGAGAAAACCCAGCCCCTTTTAATTTATTATAATCACAGCCAATAAAGAGAAACCTTGGGAAAATGAACCTTCTCAGGAAGGTTTGGTCATTATTTAAAATGAAAAGAGAAATCTTGTTACGCAAGGAGTGCCTGAGCCTAGAGACCCCCTCCTTCGCCATCTTCCCTGTGCTGCCCGCCTTCAGCTTCTCCATCCCTTTCTTGGATTCTCTCTCCTTATTTTCAGTGCCCTCTTTTGTTCACCTTTCTTTTCTAATCTTTCCTTTCCCATCCTGCCATTTTGTCTGGCTTTTACTTTCTCCCTTCCCAACCATTTCACTCTTTCATATAAAGCAACACCACTTTGTCAGTGCACACGTGTGCAGCCCAGTTATCCTGATGAGCTGGAGATGCTTTTATCTTAAAGCTGAGATCTTGTACAATAATCAGGCTATCAGAAATCTAAAAGGTCTTACAGAGGTATAAAAAAAATCCAAAACTGGGAAAGTCAAGAACGTTTGCTTTGAGGCAGAGATTGTTGAATAATTTAGTGCTAAAATACCTTGAGAGAAAAGCCCAGTTACACTCCAGTGACAGATACTCATCTGATACCATCAGTTAGTAAAATCTAACAACAAAATCCCAAATCTATACTACTTATAGCAAAAAAGGAGATCTTATCTAAATATAGTAGTATATTAGGGTATAGTAGGGATAAATAAAGTCCATTACCTACCTACATTCCATTCCTGCCTACATGTTTACTTCTCTACTTTTCTCGTCCATCTGGGAGTGTCACAGGATGAATACAAATTCATCTCCTTCCTTATCTATATGGTTTGATGATAAAATCTTTGAGAGGCACCCAGTATCCTATACATTACTTATAGATATAAAATTTCAGGCAGAACTTAGAAATTACACCAGCATTTCCAGGAATAATTACCATTACTAGGGAAGAAGAGGGTAAAAAGTTCTGCAATTCCTTTAAAATGAGTTTCAATCAAGATCTCATTCCTTTGGCACTGTCTTTGAGTTCCATTTAAAAATGGTTTGGCCCTATTCTGTTTCCTAAAGAATGAAATCCAATTGTTCATACAAGAACAGGTCTTTTGTAAGCTCTGTGTGAGAATGAGCCATTGCATAGGAGGAAGGCTAAGCCCTCAACCTGGTCGAGTGTCCTAGGTAATTAACTGTACGACGTCAGCCTGGCACACCTGGGGTTTTGTCATTTCATCAATAAAGTGTAGCCTGTATATGGCGAAGGGAAGGGAAAGATGGCACTTGATGGGCATTTCTTACCCTTAAAACCCTGAAACCTTCCTTCAGAATTAAGTGTTGGAACTGCATTTATGGGTTATTTTGCCCCTCTCACAGAGGGCAGAGGGAGCAGATATGATGGCAGCTGAAATTTTACTCATATGGGTGCAGGTCAGAGAAGCCACATTTGGTTTTTTGAAAGTTGGAGAAAACCCAGCCCCTTTTAATTTATTATAATCACAGCCAATAAAGAGAAACCTTGGGAAAATGAACCTTCTCAGGAAGGTTTGGTCATTATTTAAAATGAAAAGAGAAATCTTGTTACGCAAGGAGTGCCTGAGCCTAGAGACCCCCTCCTTCGCCATCTTCCCTGTGCTGCCCGCCTTCAGCTTCTCCATCCCTTTCTTGGATTCCCTCTCCTTATTTTCAGTGCCCTCTTTTGTTCACCTTTCTTTTCTAATCTTTCCTTTCCCATCCTGCCATTTTGTCTGGCTTTTACTTTCTCCCTTCCCAACCATTTCACTCTTTCATATGGTCCACGCTTTAGGCAAGAGACTCTCAAATACATTCTTCACCTGCTGGTTGCAAGGAAAGGCAGACCTCATCCTCCACACCTTGCCCTCAAAGAAAGAGATTTTAAATGAGAATGAATTCCACGATTACTGACAATTTTGGCTTGTATTTTCAGGCTATTGATTACTTTTATTTAAATCTATTTAAAGGTTTCTTCATTAACTGTACTTAAGATATGAACATAACCAACTTGTTTTTCTCTTCGCATTTCTGAATAGAGTGTATTAAAACACTTGAATTCTATACATTCTATTCTTTTTTATATCTTCTATCTCAAGAAAAAAAAAAAGCCCTCTCAGGCTCTCTCTCTTTATGTTACCCTTTTAATTTCATTTTCTCAGTATTGCTCTTGGCCCTGAACAGGCAGCCTTTTTAAAGAGTGTTACAATATCCATGTACTGATTTCTATCATCTGGATGAACCAAGTGATAATATTTGTTTCTTCATTATTGGACCCAGGGTGTATATCACGAAGAGTAATGCTATACCTTCTGATGAAGTGTGTATTTCTGAAAAATAGGTCATGATGAATTTACGCAGACAAGAGTTTCTTAACATTAGTCTCAAGTTGAAGTTTATCACATTTCTCTATTTTCTGAGGACATTCAGAACAAAATACTCCTGCCTTTTGCACAATGTTGTTATTTTTATAAAAACCAGACTCTTGTCATAACAAAGAAGAGAGTGGGCCCCTTTTTCTTGGAAAAGATTTTCTCAGCTGTGATCATAAACCTACTAAGAGGAAACGTTTACCCCCTTACAAGTTAATGACAATCTTTCAAGTATTTCCTATATATAGTCTTTACATCTGAAAGCAAATGGGTCATGTGAGGTAAAAAGAGTCCATTTTTGTAATGGAGGTCTATTGGAATGCATGTCACACTGAACTTGCCAGAAATCTATGATAAAGAAGTGAAATTAAATAATTCTGGAGAGAAATTTATATTGGACAACTTGTAGCACCCAGAAATCATGGTGCTAGTATTTTTCTCTAACTCTGTAGCTTATCATTTTTACAAATACTTGAAAACTATATTTAATAGTTAAAGATACTGTTTCCTAAAGATGGAGAGATATTCTCAAAATGTACTTAAAAATGTTATATGTAATAAACAAATGCCATTATAACCCTCATGGCTAAAAAGTGCACTCCAACAAAACAAAAATTAAGTTAGTCTTACAGCTTTTTTATAAATCTCAAATCCATCAGATTTAATTGCTGCTGATATTTCAGGATGCTATATAAAATAGACATGGACTAAATAATTGAGCTATTATTTAATTTGTTTTAATGTCTATAATATCCTCAGAATCATTGTTTCCAGGAATCATAAATATCAGAAAAATTATCTTTAGCAAAGATTAAAGCACACCCATTCTTTCTAATTTTCCCGTCCTTGAATTCTCTATTCATATAGCATATGATATTCATTTCAATTAAAAACCTCTGAGACACTAATGGCATTTGGCAGCCTCAGAAGAGACCCATGATCTACATCTATTTGATTACACTACCAAAAGTATCTTTTTGGTACTATTAATCAACAATTACATGAGCAATATTTTGTTTACTAGACTCCCCCCATCATCAAGTCCCCCCTGCATACACCATCACAGTCATTGCCCATCAACATAAAAAGATGCTATTGAATCACTATTTGTCTTCTCTGTGAAATGACTCCAAATCCATTTTGCCATTCAGTTTTAAAATCAAAAGTTGAATTCTTAAACTTCTTATTGTTTGTTTATCTTTGTAGTCTAAATGAAGATAAGACTTTATTAATACTGCCATTTAATTTTAATTTAAGTATTGCTGTTAAAAGTTTCTACAAATGCTTCAGAGAAGGTGCAGCCTACGTTATAGTTGGAATCACAGATACTAATCTTGGTTTCCTGTGTGACTTTGAACACTAATTTATTTCCTTGCTTCACTGGTTTACTCAGAGACCAATATTTTGTTTTGGCTTCATTAGTCATTTGTTTGAATAAGATGGGTTGATTATCTTATTCAAGGGCTAAAGTGTGTAATGTCTATTTTACTTTTTACTATTTACTTATTGTTATAAATATATCATTAAGTGCTACCTGCTTCCTAAGTAGAAATTGATTAGTACAAGCAACTAATTGTTATACAAAAACACATATTTTTATTACAGAAAATTAGGGTTTAAGTTAAAATGCATGGTTCAAAAAACACTACCATCTATCTTATTCACCTTTTATCCTAAAGGTGGTGGTAATCTAATGAAAAATAGTGGATCAATATGTAATATCCCAAAATAAATGTTTAGAGCAATAGATTCAGTCTTTGGGATGGAAGGGAGACTATTACCCTGTATAACCAAATCATTATTCAGATGTAATTATGATTATTAAGTAAATGTAGCATTTCTTTTATGTCATTATGGGAAGTTTGTATATGCCCTTTACTGCATATACGTACATGCATCAAACTATCATGATAAATTAAACTGAGCAGCCTATTAAATATAGGATTAGTCATTACACTACATGCTGCCATTGGATTACTTTACCATTCAGAGAGAAAGCAAGGCTTTAATGGTAAAGGTTTAATATTGTTCTCTGAAATAAAAAATAATAGTGCAACCTACCTCCCAATCCCGGTCTCAGGCGATTGTCATAACCATCTAGGAGTCGATCCAAAATCCTAGTGAAGACGGTGGTATTGTCTTTAAGTTCATCTTGTAGTGAGGGTTGTCCATAGCTGAAGAAAGGATAAAAGGAAGCAATATCTAAATTGTACATTTCTACTTAAACACTTTTACAAGTAAAGCCTTCCCTAGATTTTTCTACCTTCCTTCCTTTTTATAGAATCTTGATTTGAAGATTCCTCCTGGTAAAATTTTTTTCACTGTCATTTTTAAATTCTCACTGTTTTCTCCTATTTTTTCTTATAGATTATAAGCTCTTTATAATATTTCTAACTATGGGAAGAAAATTACAGGAAATGAGTTGTCTCTTTACATGTATGATTCTCAGCACGTATACAATGCTATAATAGATGTTTTCTCTGGGCAAGCAAGAATATAAATGCGTGCCAGGAAAAAAAATTTGGGAAAATTTCCCTCCCTGAAAAAAAGTGTATGTTTGTATGATCACCAAAATAATTAATAGTTATATTTTCATTTAACATGAAGCATAATTCTAAGATATCACTTACCAACATCCTATCCTTCATCCAGTTCTTAAATACATATGTGTGTGTGTGTGTGTGTGTGTGTGTGTGTACATTTTGTTTTTTTATATCCCCTTTTGGGACATTTTGATGAGAATAAGACAAAACTTATTTTTAGGATAACTATATTTTTACATTAGTGTGCAATTTCCATCCTCCTTAAAGTTTATGAATCAATTTTTATAATTTGTCATTCAAACCTCTAATAATTGAGTTATTGCCATTTCTGGTCTTAGAAGTAAAAGATACCTTGAAAAAGATAAGGTCTAATATTCTTAATATATGGTTTACTAAACTGTAGTGTTTTCTGTTGCATAAGAAAACAGAACTATTTGTAAGATCTTGAACTAGAACCCAGTTTTCCTCAACCTTCAGTCTAAAACTTTATTTCCATTCTTCTATATTAATTGTTTTTATTTTAATTTTTCTAGTTGAAGGTATAGTTTTTACTCCATACCATTACTAGTCTTTGAGTTTCAAACACGTAGCAACTGCAGTTCAAATATTGTGTTATTTCTTACATCAATCACATTATTATCTACGTTCCTTGAATTATGTTTTATGTAATGATTAGGATAACACCTCCAAAATAATTTCAGAGAAGAACTTTTCATCTTAGGATGGATCACACTGACTGATATATAATAATAGCTCTGATCTTGAGTAAAAAAAAATGAATATAGAGTGTAAACTAAGAAACTATCACAAAAATATCACTTTTGTACTTTCTATTTAATATGTTTTTGGCTTCACTACTGCGTGTTTATGTTACTGATAAATCTGAGAAAAATAGTAACATTTGAAAACAACATTAATTTATTTGATGGGAGCAAGAAGTATAATTAAAGTATTTCAAAAATAAACTATTGTTTATTAATTTTATGTCAGCAAAATTCCATGGCCATTTCTCTAATAAAATTTTAACAGTATTATAACTAAAAGCTATTTGTAATATTCAATATACGAAATGCACCTCACCAAATAATTTTTCATTTTTCTTTATTCAACTTTAATAACATGCAGATGGAGGATTTACTCTCCTTTGGCAAAACTAAACATCTTATTAGTTTTTTAAGTCAAATTTTGAATAAGCTCTAGTCTTCCAAGATGTCCCATTAACAGATGACAGCAGTAAAGCTAAAACAGTTTTCTGAATACAATTATTTATAAGAACTTGTCTCAAAACCAACTGCTAACTAAGCATGTATCTTTCAAGGATATTGGAAGGTCATCTTGATGAAGGTGGAAAAAAAATGCTAGCACACCTTAATTTGTGAGGAGGGCCTGATCAAATAGTCTAAGGAAGAAAGCAATAAAATAAGAAGGGGGAAAAGATGAGACGAGGTGACACGATATAACGCAATGAGACTGTTAACCTGACTCCAGAATATGGAGCTGACTATCACCTTTACCTGCTTCACCCCTGTTTTTACAGCTAACGTTAAATTCAGGAAATTCTTTTTTCCCTTGGCTTTATCTTATAAATGTTGTTTTCACCAATTGTTTGCATTGGAGAAAAAAATGCCAAAATAGATTTTTCCCTTTTTCCCAGAAAACCAGTTCTGCTATCCCTACTGGAATGGTAATCTTTCTTTTATGTGATTTTCTAATCAGGTTATTCTTCATCTTTACTTCTAATTTCTTATGTCCAATTGTAATTGTCAGAAAATAACTCTAAGATCAAGATCAAGATTATTTACTGCTATTAAATACTTAAACCAAAGTAATGTTTCCTAAACTGCATATATAATTTGAAGAGAAATGTCAGTTACAGTACCTGACTGATTCCATATGAACCACTATATAATAAAACACTGTGCACTATCTCCATCTACAGGTCATTACAATAGTAACACTTCATATAATTTTTCAAACGCAGTGAAGAACATTTAACTCCTTGAATTAAGAGTATCTGGCAATAATACATTTCTTGTTCTTCTGGCAGTTATTATTTATCACATACAAGAGCAAAAAACAAAAACAGACAACTTCTCAATTTCAAAAAAATCCTAAATTCATATCTTTCCAGACTATTCCATGTCTTTGCCTTAACTCACAAGGGTTCCTTTTCCATTTCATTTTGAAGAATCTTAGGTTTTTATAATATATCTAAGGCTTATGGGTCTTTGCCTTAACTCACAAGGGTTCCTTTTCCATTTCATTTTGAAGAATCTTAGGTTTTTATAATATATCTAAGGCTTATGGGCCAGAGGAGTAGGCTATGCAAAAAATATAAAAGCAAATAAAGATAAATCAGAAATATTTGGTCATTTATATTGTTGCTACTTTAATATGTTTATATGATTGATTGAATCATTAGCAACTATTGTAAGTGTAGTTAACCATATTATTAAATTTTTCTTATAACTTGTCTCTAAGGTATTTGCACTTAAAGAGATGTTCAGTTTTATCTAATGTTCTCAAATATCTGGTGTATTCTACCTCTATTTGTTATTGAAATAATGGTTTCAAAACATAGTATACACATGCATTTTTAGAGACTTACGACTTTCAAACTACAGATACTATTTTAAACTTTCTACTTTCATATAGTTACAGGATACTTTATGATCTTTACAGTTGACTAGAAATTTTCTTCTTAGAAAATCAACTCACACAGTACAAGGAGATCAATTGGAGTAACTTTTTCTATGAATTAGGAAACCACATGTTCTGTTCAGTTACAACTGAACAGTGAAAAGTTCAATTTAAGATTGAATAGTTGAATTAATGCATTTCTTAACAATAGTGTGTTAAGTGTATTCTAACTGAAATGCAAATAAGATGATTATTTTCTCATACTGCTCTTCTTTATTCTTAGCTGGAATTTTATTGCACTTAAGTTTTTGAATTCCCTTAGTCATGAACTCATCCAAGGACAATTATCTTCCCCCTGAAAGAATAAATGAAAAGTTACAGAAATTCTCAAGCAGTTTTAAAATAGTGTCCCCACCTTCTTCCAGTCAATGTGCTCAGAAGGAGGGTCCAGGCCCAAAGGTAGTCAGAGAGACCCGGACTTTTCTTCATCGCGGGCTCGTGCAGCTGAAAAGTAGAACAAGTAGAGATCAATGTCTCTTGCAAGAAACATCAGGTTATAACCACTAGGGCTGACTGAGGCAGTTCAGATGAACGTTTTGAAGTCAGGAAATGACCTCACTGGGATATGACACCTCATTGGAAGCAGTAGAAACCTGGACCATCCATTCTCCACTTTCCCTTCCATTTTTCCATTCAGAAATCTACCCGTGTCTTAAATTCTCCTGTAAAGGAATACAAGTTAAAATGCTTTCAGGTAACAATATTGCTCAACATAAAAGCTCTGAGTTGTTGTTTTTTTCCTCTAGGTTTTATATTTCCAATATAGTTGGAATTACTCTTTTCTTGTTGTTTATCATCTGAAAATTTTGACCTTTTTGATTTGAGTTCCCACAATCAAATTGTGCATTAACATTTTTAAGCTGGTGTCTGTAAAAGGGAGATGTTTAGGGGCTGAAATGGGATAAGTTAATATGCTTTGATGACTGAATTCATCTTCGAATTCTGGATGTACCTTGATTCAGAAGCAACTGTATTGATATTAAAAAAAAAAAAGGAACACACTGTTGAATGCCAGAGTCATGCTTATATTCTCTGTCTGTGATTGCCTTGTTAAATATGCTCACTAATGCTTCTGGGAGGCTAAAGGACACACTTTATAGTCAAGCCATGTGCTAATCTCTCTCACACATACAAACCACACCACACAAATGCACACAAACCTGCCCACATATATCTTTGAAGCCCTCTCAAATTCTACCAGGTTGCTGCTAGAAAATGTTGCCTCTTAAACAGTTGGAAGCTGAAGTGCTTTGCTTTGCATGAATAAGGGAATCTTTTCCCTCCTCTTAGATAAAGTACAATCAATCACCATCTGATTGTTGAATTTAGACTAGGTAGTGGGATGCTGGAAGAATGCAGAAGTATGGAAAGCTTAGGAAATTTTTAAAAAACTGTCATGTTTGTGGAGTCAATTTTTAAAAATTAATGCACTACCTGGTTAAGAAGCAGATATGGTACCACTTTTTTTAATGTGATATAATTAATTGCAGTCATAATATGAGAGATGTTCAGGTGTTTGTTAGTACTTCCTTGAATCTATACTCCTTAGTAGGGTCAGTGATTAATAGATTGCTAGTCTTTTAAAGCATATTTTTCATTAAATACTCTATAGTTTAATGTGGTATGCCTTTAAATACATCTACACCAATTCTTTCCACTCTCTTGGGAATCATTTATATCAGTAAAACCATTACAAACAGGCATGTAAGCAATGAAACATAATTAATGTGTTTAGAGTGAAATGGTCTATATTTAGAGATAGGAACTCTGAGCTTCATACTTTTTACTTAATTTAATGACTGTTTTTGACATAGACAAGTTGAATAGGATAATAAATGTTGGATGATATTGGATACATATTAAATATCATGTTAAAATATTGCATCTAAACTGTACAATTATAACTCACCCTATTATTAATCTTCAACATCTGTTATGAAGGAATTTTGTTGGTCTTTATAAAAAAAGGGGGGTAATTCCTGAAGGGGTAAATGAAACAAAACAAAACCCCTAAGGCAAGGTACCATAGCTTTTTGTCCTCCTCTGACATTTCCAAAAGAGAAAAACAAATATATCATGGCACTTGAGTTGTTGAGGAAGAAAGTTTCTTGCATATACAAACATACTACTTCACAAGAAACGCTAAGCCACCTCCTTACCCCTTTCCATCTTCAACATCCCCCCACCAAACACCCACATCCCGTGCCACCCATATCAAATAAGTTGAGTTTTTCATGTTCAGAGTGGGAGAGACCCCTACACCAGAGGGCATTTCAGCAGTGTGCACTGAAAAGAGGCATTTCTGCAGCCAGAATTAGAGTGCCTTCCCTAGATGGAACACTGAGACAGGTTTGCTGTCCCAGCATCTTAACTTTAGAGGATGCCCCCAATGCCCCTCCCCACCTCATCTCAGCTCCCTCTTGCAAAAAAAAAAAAAAGACCACACCATGTCACCATCCACCCCACAAAATAAACGCTATTCTGCCAAAGAAAGGGGGAAAGGAAAAAAAGAGGCCGAAAAAAAAATAATGTTCCTCTACGGTTGCGGTTTTCACCCTGAAAGAAAAACATTCGTTGTACCTGCTATGGGATCAGGCTCTTGTCCTGTTCCCTCCTTCTCCTTTTTGTTCAGCATTTTTGTCTCTCCAGCTAGGAAAAGCCACGTTCAAAGCCTAATGTGTTGCGGTCCGAAGCCGCACTTACCTCGGGCCCCCTCTGGGCACAGGATCGCTCAAGACCCGGGAAAAGTCTGCGAGAGAAATTCGTGGAGAGCCTGGAGCCGGCGCGAGTCGTCCGCGAGTCCGGCGCGCCGGGAGCGGAGGGGCGTCCTCGCGCTGCCTCGCACTCACTCGGTCTGAGCCATCATGGACTCTGCGTGCTCCTTCGCTGAAGATTTCACACCCAAATTTGCTTCCCAATATCCAATCTGCAGCTATACAACAAAAGATTTCTCTTTACCAAGACAGTAGTAATACGTCCCAGGGCAAACCGGATGTGAAATAGGCGGTGACTTCATGCCAGAGAGATTTTATTTTAGAAAGGAAGGTGGTACCAGCCTCTGGATCTCGAGACCAATCCGCCCATTTTTTATATGCAGCACAATTTAACTTGCACCGCTCTGGCCCTAATCCCCTTCTCTCTAGCTGCAGACTCAAATCCTTCCACAATCTGCTGCAAGCTTTCCTTTTTTTGGTGGGGGCGGGGGGGAGTTAAATGGGGGAAGGGTAGAAAGGGTTAGAAACACAGGCTATACTCAGAATCTTTTACACTTTCAATTTATGAACACTCTTATTTTAAGGTTGCCCATTAAAAATACAACTGATCGGTATAACTATTCCACCTTTGATCAAACATCTAACCACTGAATGCATATGAATGAATACAAGCTGTGAAAGATGCAGGGTTACACGTGCGGAGAGCGCACTCTCCTCTCGCCTGTCTCGCTCGCACGCACTCCCACACAAACACGTCTGAGTCCCTGTGTCTTGCAGAGTCACGAATGGTGAAGGATGGCAGGGAAGAGTTCTGGCCAGTAGGGACTCGGCCCCCGGTTTAGAGAATCCTCCGCACCTTCACAGGTTGTGAGCGCTTTCCACCCCACCTTAGGCGGTAGCTTAGAGGACAGCAAGAACGGGCTCCAGCACCGGGATTTTAATCTTTGGAGGTAACTGTTTATGTTCTAATGGAGAAAACACAGGCTCCTTTGAATATGAATTGCTCTGGGTTCCCAGGACGAGAAGTATTTAACTTTAAATAAATCACCCAGATCATTTCTAGGTTTGAGGGTCATATCTCCATTTCCGGAATGATTCCTTTGCCCCGAACTCCCTCATTCTCGGGATTAAGAAAATGGGAGACAAAGAGAAATTAACAAAAATATTCTTAGAAGTAAAAACATAACCCTCTTCTACTTTTTTCCTTTGCCCTTTCGTTACCTTTCCTGATGGCTCTCCACCCACGAATATACACTTAGGGAAGGAGGGTGTGTTTCGACGTCAGTCTAACTAATTTCCAAGGAATCAGGGACTGTAGTTTTCTTCTCAGATTTTGTGAATGGGTGTTCAGGGCAGAGAGAAAGTGGATGGGTGCTGCCTTCCTGGGAGCGCTTACTGAATTGACCTGAAGCCATGGGAGCTGTCCGTTCAGCACTTTCGCTCAGACTGGGTAGGAGGTGCAAAAAAGACAGGATGCTTCCATGTAATGCTTCTGGTAAGTGAGAGCAGAACTTTAGCGAGCTCCCTAGCCATTTTCTCCAGGGACTTGTAGCAGGGGACACGGTTGGGATAGGGGCGGAGCTTGGCCAAGGGAAGAAAAAAAAACCTAAATGGCCAATCCATACCACTCATGGGTTTGCATCTGCAAGATTTCTGCGACCTTGTGCTGCAATACAATAAGCTTAGATGATTAAAATTTAAGACAGGTGCTAGAAATGATAAGGAATATAAAATTGAAGACCACATTCAGAGTTGGGTTTGGTTAACTTCTTAGTTTTGAAAGGGAAGTGTTATTGGGAAATGATTGTAGAAATAAATCTTCAAGGAAGAGAGATTTGAAGATCTTATGGTACCCCCTGTTTCCTGGTGGTAGTTGCCTGTTCTATTCAGACATAACAAATGTCAGTGTATTCTTAAAGATATCCACTTAAGAAACATCATAGCTCCCCTTTGTGACATTACACAATTCTTATTTATTTTCTTATTCATTGATTCACTTATTTATTAAGCAATTCTGAGAATAAAACTAAGTTTAGTAAGGTTTTGAAACTTTGGGTTAACCATTAGAAACATTATTTTATTACATAACAATATATAATGCAATTCCATAGTTTTGTTTTGATTCAACAAAGACTGATAGTCCTAAAACTATGATCTTTTACTCTTTTTTTTTTCCTCCTGGTCAACTTGTCAGAGCTCCTCTTACTCTCCTCTACAAATTGAGAAAAACTTTATAAATCTACATCGAATGACATACAACCAAAGCATCCTGATGGTGGTTTTTCCAAGCAGTAACTAAACCTTTATCATTTGAACAGTAATCTCTGAGAACAATGTCAATCACTTCTTGCTTCAGACTAAATGTGTTATGTGACTATCCAACAGGACATAATTATACAGCATTTAAATTTTTAAACAAATAAAGTTCTATAAATATTTGGTTTATCTTAAAATTATAGCACACATAAGGAAATGTCCACATTATGATTCTCTACTTAAAATACCACAATACTCACAAGGTATTTTTTGCTAGATTATATATATATATGTAATTTATTTGTGGACATGTATATTTTTGATAAATAAATTATGGGTGCTTAAAATAATTTACTCCAAAAACAGTGATTGTAACTCTAAATTATGAACATTTTTATTATTTCCCATCTAAGGTGTCATTAACATATGCACATAACACAAGGGAATAAAATATAGGAAATTAATAGCAAGGAAATAATTAATATTGTCTTATTACACTGAACCTTTCAGATAATTGTTGACATTCTAGTTTTTCTTTCAGTGAAGGGAATAAATCCCTTCAAAGTGTGTGTGCATCTGGTTGAAGTAAGTTCTTGAAATAATAATAACCATGATGCTCAATATCTTGAAGTTTGCTTGGTTTCAAGTAATGTGCTAATCAGTTTGGATAAATAATTCAATTTAATTCTCAAAATATGGCTGTGAGAGATGGTCTTAATATCCCTGTCTTACAAATCATTCAATAAATTATGGGTTAAAGAGAGTGAGAGGTTTGCACAAGGTCACACAGTGAGTGTGTTCATGCTAGAAGGCAAACCCAGACCTCCTGATTTCAAAGCTTATTTTCTTAACCACACTTCTCTGTTACTTTTTTCCTTACAATGTGGTTGTGAGCTCATGTTAAAATATGTTTTATTCATTTTATATCTGTTTGGCCACTTAATATCAGTCATAAAACCTACTTCTGAGTTTTTTTTAAACATATTTATTCATGACAAGATTTTTTCTTGTAATATTCTAGTGCATCCAACTGTAACATAGTTTCAGGTTTACTTCAGGATTTCAGAGTTTTCTGCTATTTTCTTTCTGTCTTATGAGCTAGTCACAAAGGACCTCCGAACAGTCACTAGCACTGGACAGAGGGATTTAAGGTCAAACCTAGGACCATGCATCCTGGGGAGGCCTAAGAGCTCTATTTCCATGTGGCAGTCTGGTACATTCTGCTTTCTCTGTCAATTTTAAATGGCAGGAAGCCCTGACCTAATTGAAGAAGTGGTACTGGTTCTTTTCAACAGAAATGTTTTTACTTTCTCCAACTAAATGTGAACCGAATGAGAAAAAAAATAGCCAGAGTGTTCTCATTAATTCAGTGTGGCTTTTTATCATTTACAAAATAATTTGGGGTGAGGAGGAAGAGACATGTAAAAATAATAAAATATCAAATAAGCTTCAGCTTAAATCTGGAACAACGTGGTCTTTTAAAACATGTTTGCATGTCTCAGATATATGCATTAAAAGTATATTTCAATTATGTTAACATACTGTGGGACATGGTTATCAATCTGCAATATTAAATATACAGGTTGCAGTTAAACATGATTCACATACATTTATGTATGTATACATGGATATTTTTATGGAATATTTAGACTCACTAACCTAGTTCCCTCCTCTAATTTCCTTGTATACTATACAGACCATCTCGTTAATGAACTACCCTAGCACATCCAGAGGGGTATAACTTCTTTTGTAATTGGTATTGAAATAATAGTTTAGTTGATAAAAAGAAAAGAACAGTGATTTAAGTAAGTAATAGAGTAATGTCTGTACCTTAACTTAGATACTTTTATCATCTGGGTTACTCAGACCAATTCTTTATCCCAGGCTGAAAGGCTAGTTTTACATCTTAGCATAGTGAGGGACATGGTAAGTACAGTAAAACCAAAACCAAAATATTCTTATATTTGTCATAATTGTTTGGCACTCCAAAGGGACTTGGAATTGTTTACCCTAACCACTTTGGCAGATCGCAGAGATTACATAATTTTTCCTGTGATCTTTGTAGGAGTGGAACCCAGGTTAGCAAGTCTAGTAAACACTCATACATACATGGGTATATATCTGAAATCACTGACACCTAATAGCTGTGTGACCTCTAGTACATTGCTTAACTTTTCTGAACTTCATTTTATGAAGTTAAAATGAGGTAATGTTTTAATTGAGATAATGTTAAATTATATTAAAGTGTTAAACAATGAAGTAAAGTTTTAAAACAAGGTGGCATAATGTGGGAGAAGAAATGTGAATCACAAAGTCCTCTTGTATAACACCTAATAGGCATCCAGTGAATGACAATTTCCTTCTCTCCCATCTCAACACAAATTCACTATTTTTCAAGCATTTTAATGCATTCTCTACAGCAAGTTGATGTAAGTCATAATACTGGTTATATTATACACACTTTGCGTAAGTTTAATTGAAACATAAAATTGTTATGAGACAAAATATTACAAGTTAGCTGATATACCATCTTAATCATAGGCCCACATTCTCATTTCTATGGTTTCTGAAACTTTCTCTTACTACACCTGCCTTAGGCCTAGAGTATTTTACATATACTCCAAACCAGAAAGATTTTAGGGGAAAATGCTCCAAGATAGAGCCAACCACAGCATGTGTTTCAACAGCAACTTTTATAGTCAGTCATAGACTCCCCAAGAATTACATTTCACAACAGTATTTTTCCATAAGATTTAAAATGGACCCAACTAGTACCTATCAAGAAAATACACACACACACACACACACATATGAAAACTAGACTCTATTTAATGGTCATGTAAGTAGGACACTACCCAATTTTCTTCCATGGCAATTTTCAGTTTATCAGCAACTTAAATTCACCCATTTTCTTTCAAAGTCTTTTCTTTTCACAGATGTTGAACACATTTATCCAAGCAGGAAAATGCAGATTGATTTAGAGTTAAAAGAACTGATGATAAGATTAGCTGAAAAAAAATATTTATTTTAAAATACCAAATAAATATCAATAATTTTTGATACTTTGAAGAAGGAGTTTAGACTCTTTAGATTCTTTTGACAATGTGAACATTGTAATGTAAATAAGCAGGGGGGTAAGAAAATGAGCATATCTTATTAAAATGCTGTCACAATTATAGGCTAGATATTTTAAATGCTATATCCTACATGATTGTGGAAAAATGAATTCTCTATTTTTATGGCAAAATTAAGGCATTCAGGAGGTATATGTGTTTCTGTCAGTAAATTTTAAGTGTGTGTATGCATATACATAGTCTCTGC